ATGCCCTTTGGTTTAAAAAATGCACCTAGTGAATTTCAAAATATAATGAATAAAATATTCGATCCCCTTAGTCATTTTTTTAAAGTCTACGTAGATGATATTCTCATGTTTTCTACATCAATTGAAGAACATTGGAAACATCTGCAATCATTCATCTGAACCATCCAATGTAATGGTCTAGTTATCTCTGCTCCTAAGATTAAATTATTCCAAACTAAAGTCAGATTTTTAGGTTATGAAATTTACCAAAGTATTATTCTTCCTATAAGTCGATCTATTGAGTTTGCTTCTAAGTTTCCCGATAAAATCTTAGACAAGACCTAGTTACAAAGATTTTTAGGATCCCTTAATTACATTGTTGAATTCTATAAAGACCTTAGAAAAACTTGTCAACCTCTTTTTGATCGATTGAAAGATGATCCCCCTCCTTGGTCTCCCAATCATACTACTATTGTTCAACAAGTCAAAAAATATGTCAAGACTTTACCTTGTCTTGGTATTTCTACTGAAGATTTATTCAAAATTATTCAAATTGATGCCTCTAACATTGGTTATGGTGGCATTCTCCTTTAGAAAATCCATCTCAAGTCATCTGAACAAATTTTTCATTTTCACTCTAGTATCTAGAACAAAACACAGAAAAATTATAGTACTATCAAAAAAGAAATTTTATCTATTGTATTGTCTATTAGTTAATTTCAAGATGATATTTTAATTAAAGATTTCTAGTACGAGTTGATTATAAAAGCGCAAAATATGTTTTACAAAAAGATGTTCAAAACATTGCTAGTAAGCACATTTTTGCCCGTTGGCAATCTATTTTAAATACATTTGATTTTGATATTGAATATATTCCTACTAGTCAAAACTCTATCCCTGATTTTCTTACCCGCGAATTTTTACAGGATGGATAGAGAGAGTCATACATACATTTCAACTCTATATAAATTTCATAGTAAAAATGCCTACTCCATATTGTTCTACCCACAAATTACAAGTCACTCGCTATCGCAAAATTATTTACCATTGTGCCTTTAAAATAGCCTACTTAAAGTCAATTAACCAAGATCCCTACCTCCAATTCCACCAAATTGCTAGCCAATGCAATTTAATTGCCCATTACACAAATCTTCTCAATTTCCATATTGATATGTTAGATGTACTCAGTGGGTGTTAATCTATTTTCTGTTTCTTAATTACAGATGTCAAGTAAAAAGCTTTCCTCTAAGCCACATACTATCATTCCAACCAGTCAACCTATTGTTGCACTCCCAATTAATCTAGTGAACAGATACCAAATTCTTGGTACTATTTGCTTATCAGTCAATTACATCCATGCCTCCCAATTATCCACAACGGTCAACACCAAGAACAGATTATGTTCTTAAACCTCAATCATCCAAACTTTTCTACAAAGAACTAGTCCACAAAAATCGTCATAATGTCATTGATTTAGTCAAAACCTATTTCCTTTCTAATTGGCATTTCACTCTGTCTTATCCAAACAAGTCAATTACTTTTTACAAAGATATCCTCTTCCATTATAAGTCCATAGTCATTAAACCCATTTATGACAGAGTCAATACCAGTAAAATCCTCTATCATTCTTTTTATGTACACAACATTGTATCCCTTGATAAATGGGGTCTCCCTTTCTTGCTACTAATCATACGATACAATACAGTTATTATGATTATATTGATGCATGGTTCAAAGTCCTCTTGCATCAAAATGATACATACAGTCACTCTTGATTTTTCTACTTTAATCATCAATTCAAGTTAGAATTTCCTTCTTGGTTTCTGAGATGGTGGTCTCAACATGGTGCCATCCCAGAAATCATCCCTTCTGACGTCATGGATCAAGTCACTTATTTCTCTTCAATCTACAAATTGAGTCAACACAAGAGCCAATTTACTTTATTGCTCCATTTCATGTCCAAATATAAAGTTCCTTGGATATTCAAATGGCAATATAATATTGAAGATAACATAGTCATTAGACAACATTTTGTCAAATGGTGGGATGCATTTAAAGCTCATCGCATTAGTGATCAAGTCCAACAAGAATTTCAAGTCAACATTTATGCTCCTACTACAGTAATGGACAAGTCTTCTCAGCAAAACCCAACTGCTTCAGTCACTTAAGGAAGCCCACTTCCTCTCACAACAGTCGGACTTGGAAGCCCAACAGCCAGCTCTGAGCCTTCCAAATCCAAGTCATCCAAGTCAAAGCCCAAAGCAAAGCCCAAGTAAAAAACAAGCAATGAAGAACTCATTCAAATTACGAAGTTACTACTGCCCAAGCCAAGTCACAAGATGAAGACAATGCTTCAGATGGATCAGCCTCTTTTGAAGCCTCTACTAGTTATGATCCATATGGCTCCCAATACCAAGATACTCAAGACCCATATGCTTAACTGGATTTCATATCATCAGCATTGGATTCCATATATATTCAAAAGCTTCAATTAATGCTCTTCTTTTGAGAAAAGCTGCTTCTGAATATATTCTGATTTCCAATCAGTCACTATGCATTCACGCCTCAACAGCATTTCCCACCAAAAGTGATGAATAGTGAAAAAAGTCAATTTTACTGTTCACATGAAAAGTAAAAGTCAAATTTACTATTCACTGTTCATCAATTATTCAGTCAATCAGATTCTCCATCAAATACTATGTAGTCACGCATCTTCAACTTTTCCGAAAGCAACGAGCAGCACCTATGTGCCTTCACCTGCGAATCTTTAGTCCATATTAGCTCCCCAGAGCACCATAGTCATTCAGCTTCTATATAAAAGACCTCCTCAATCACGAAGAAGATCATCCAAAATTTTAGAAATTTCTCAAACTCTCTTTTTGTAATTTCTATTTTGTAATCTGTATTTTGAAGTTATGATTTCCAGCTTCCAGTAAACAATAAACAATTGTAAGCTATTTCTGATTTCAACCTATCAATTTATGTTTTATGTTATCTCAGTGTTCTATTTTAAATTATGTTTTACATGTTGCTAGTTCCGCTTACATTTTACCTTCCTTTTCCCTTTCCCTTTCCCTTTCCAAATCCCTCCGCATAGCCCCAAACTAAACACAACGTTCCTTTAGCCTTCTTCTTCATCCCAAACACTCTGATATTTATATGAATAGGTATATTTTTGCAAATTCTCATTTACTCATAATTAACCTCTTTCAACAAGGGAAACTTTGGAAACCCGATTTCCATTTTCACCACTTCTGGCTTATAGTTCAAATCATCGAGATAATGGAATGGATTATGTTATGGAATAAGCACTTTGAAAATCCTGTTATGGAATAGGTCATGCTACTGTGCTTTTTCCCAACGACTGTGCTAATGGATTTGGACTGAGAGACCACACTGAAACTCACTTGAAAATGTAGGGTCTGTGCTTAAATGGAAATTGTATGGTTCGGAATTTCATATCCAAACATGTTGATTTTGTTCGGTGGTGTACAGCTAAACAAAGTAAATTTGTTCAAATCTGAAAGTCCGAACTGCAATGACATTAAACAGATTCAATATTCATTTTTACGTAAAATAAAACACAAAAATCAAGAACTATACTTCGATATTTATGTGAATACTTACCTCTTTTTTGATGGGTTGTTTCAAAAAATAGTTTTTATTATTATTATCATCAATTGTTTGATTTTGTTTAAACTCTCTTCTATGCGCAAGGATAAGAAACACTGATATTGATGATAATAGTGAGTTTTTGTGGAGTAGTTTGGAATTTTGGAGTGAGAGAGAAGAAAAAGAGAAAATAATTGAAATTTGGGACAAAAGATAAAAGAATACGTATATATGATTAGAGTGTACCATCAGGAAAAAATATATATATATATATATATATATATTTTTTCCTGATGGTACACTCTAATCATATATACGTATTCTTTTATCTTTTGTCCCAAATTTCAATTATTTTCTCTTTTTCTTCTCTCTCACTCCAAAATTCCAAACTATACTTAATGATTTTTGGAGTTAAATGTGTCACTCATTCATTTGAATCCATGACTTGCTGAAATTTATTTTTTGGGCATGAATAAATTCCAACGTGTTCATCCTCGTTCGTACACAAGTGAAAATTTTGGGAATTTAAGTTAGTTTGTGTAGGTTTTCATTGCTCTATTGAAAAAATCTTCTATGATTGATATAGTCCTGACCTCTTCCCTATATACAACACAACCATCATTACTCAATTCAGTTACAACTCTTTTGGCTAACTAACAGAATGACAACCACAACTAGCCAACTTGATTACTGACCTGAACAACCATTTTAACCTAACCTTCTATTTATTTTTTTAAAAAAATATTTTTGGGTATTTTTTGACATTTAGTACATTGAAAACAAAATTCAATGACTACGTTAATGACATAATTTTCGAATAGAACAGTTTTCTATGATACATTTCGAGTCGTGTTACAGATGTCACTTTTCTAAAGATAATATTTGCTCCCACCAGATGGTGTGCACCGAATTTCCAGTAAAATCGCCTTCAAGATACAATGAAGTTGATCTTAGAATCTTCTGTTTGTATTCTCACAAATGAAGATAGATTAAAATACCTTCGTATACCAGAGAATCGGGGACAATAGTTTCTGTTGGAAAATATTTTCCATCTATTCTCTAACAATATCAACCGCCCTCGAGGAAGAGAAAGCTAAAACGGAACAGAGAAAATGCAGCTAACACTCAGCAAGAAAGAAACAAGGATAGACCTCTTTTCAACTACATAGTGAAGCTCTTACTATATCCAAGTTTTGTCAAAATCCACCACAACATAACACTTTCATAAAATAGACAGAGCAGGAACAACATATTTAGGATAAAAGAACTTACCATTAGTAAATTAAAACTATAAGTCAGAGAAATTGTTTAGAATTCTACAGTAATATAGAGTATGAATGTTACAATATCTGCACAACAGCATGTTTAAGTAATGTACTTTAGACAATTTATAGTTAATTTGACTCCATTTAACTTTCTGCCACAAGAATCTCATCATCAGCATTGTTTCCAACCCAATTGATCAAAGCAAAAAGGAACTCTCTGAAGCTAACCTTCCCTTTTCTTTCCCAGTCCATGTCTTCTGCATTCATACAAAGAAATCACTAAGATAAGGTAAAGTAACTTTAAGGCAATGCAACCATAGATTTACTACAAAGCAGTATGGAAAAAGATGTCGGTGATACCAAATCGAGTCCTTGTAATGTGTGCTGGGGAAATCTCCAGAGGAGAATCCCTATTTAGTGCTTTGACCATGTCTTTCTTATTCAGCTTTCCATCACCATTTTTGTCAAGAAACAAGAATGCTTCGATTATAGTATCAAACGTGGCTTCAAGTTGTGGCGATCCCATCTTTGATGTCTTAAAAAATATCCACAGGATAAGAAAAATGAATTGGCAATAAATGTTGACCTAAACAAGTGAACTTTGCAATCGAAAAAAAAAATGTTATGGGTTAATTGTGTTTACAATGTGAGGAGAGTTCAAGCGATCCATTAGGAGATAAATTAGACACAAAAGAACAATAAACTCTTTGAATTGTATCCCTTCACTCCCATCTACGTCGCATGAGTGAAAAAGATCATCAATTTCCTTCTCTGTAAGATGGAGTTGCAATTTCTGTAAGCATTTCTTGAGTTCCTCAAGGTCAATAGTTCCATTAGAATCTTCATCTGTTTAGCGTTAACAGAGAGATTGATCAGTTTGTAACATTGCTCCATAAAAATATATTTTTGTTTTTAAGGAAAGCAACCTTGTTGAAACTCACCGCACTGTTCAAAGACACCTCGGATGTCTTTCAATCCCTCTTTGATCTGAGGGAACCTCATGATTATGCCATTGATTGATCTGAAATTGTTATTTCCAAATGGACTTCTCTTAACTTCCATCATTTTCTTTTTAAGCTTAGTGTCTAACCTCTTATACTTGTTTAGCGAATTATGACAGCAGAGCATACCTCCTACTTTGTTGGACAATGACTTCAGAGCAGGGCTAGTGTGAGACGGGCCTTAAGAACAAAAAACCCAACAAACAAAATTATATTGTTTACACATCACTAATTCCAAAAAACGGATCTACAAAATTGGTTTGTATATCATTTTTTTAAACAACCATACTATATCCTATCAATATAGTACTCCTAATCTATCCTAATGACGCGGAAGAGAGAGAGAGAGAGAGAGAATAGAGAGAAATAAAGAGAGGAATGTAAGTCCATTCCTTCACATAGTCTATTCCATATAATTAAGTTTAAGAATAGATTGATAGTGCCAAATAAGTACTCCCAAACATTTTTCGTCATTAAAATTGATATAATTGGACCAAACCTATTTATAAAGAAATCTTGTCCTTCCATGTGACACCATATAAATGGCGCCTACATATTATCCTTATCTCTCACTCACAACTGTGAATCTCATTCACTATCAGTCTCATTCATTCTATTAAATTTCAAGACTTTTCATCTCTTTCTTTTTTCTCATATTAATTATTGTTATCACTGTCAACAAACCTCTGTCAAAATATTTATAATTTCAGTGATGCTAGAGACCTCTAATTTAGAGGCTCTAAACGCACCTCTAATGAGGTGGAAAAGGGAGGGGGGAAAAAAAAAAAAGAGAGACACAGCATTGACAGTGACAGTGGGTGGGTCCCACTGCCACATCACTAGTGGCACCTCTAATTAGAGGTCCCAAGCTTTATTGTTATAATTTTAATAATTTTTCTACATATTTTAAAATATTTTTATATATTTATATATTTATTTTTTAAATACTTTTTCAATACTAATAATAATTTTAAAAGTTGTCATTAAATTTTTTTCTTATTTGTTAAAAAATATTTTTTTTCCACTCTCAGAGCACCTCCATCATTTATCATCATATCTCACTTTTATTCAAAAACAAAAAAAAAATTCCAACAACCCAATCTCACTTTTATGTCGTAATTTGATGTGAGGTACAATTCTTACCTAATTAGCTATTAATTCCTTTATGATAAATTACAATTCCAACAACCCAATCTCACTTTTATGCCATAATTTGTTAATAATTTATTTTTAAAATTGTATTTATTTTTGACAAAAAATGTTTTTTCGTCAAGGAGCTACCAATATCTAATTAGTATGATTTTTTGTAAGAATGAAGTGCTCGATGAATTTTACACGTTCGAATCATCGAAACGAAACCCGTAATAAGCGCTACGGATCCAACGGTACTAAGAGAGGCCTCTCCCTAAAGTTTTTATGTGAATTTAAATTTGAGCCTTCGTTTGGAATGTGGGTTGACTTTTTGACTATTTTAGCTTGAGGCTAAAAAGCCTAGTTTGAGATAGGCTTTTTGCCTTTTTTAACTTCTGTGAAAGAAAAAATGAAATGATTATGATATGGATGTGACATTTTATCTTATTGATTTTTTAGTCTATTCTGATTTTTTATGGCTAAAATAGTCAAAGTAGCCCATGCCAAACATAGCCTGAATAAGTGCGGTGTAATCATGTAATTGTAGGACTATTTGTAATTAGTGTATTCGCATTTCTTCTACTTAGAAACTGATCATAACATTGGACCCATCTCTGTTTTTTATTTTTATTTTTTTATCGCAATGTCATCGTTGAGTTCATTTATTTAATACCTATGTATTTGTTAGGGAAATTTTCATTAGGCTTAAATTTACATAGTCTTTGTTGGAGCAATCTTCTGTGTAAAAAATAAACTGAAACCAAATCAAACAAATAAAATAAATAACTTACTGAATTTATTTTACCGAACCGAATGAATAATAAAAAGATCAAGTCGAGTGTGTGACACTCTGTCCTTAAGACAGATTCGCCCCTCTACGTTCGCCCGTTGACCTTGTCCACTACCATAAGGATGGGTCCTTGATCTATTTGTTGAAGAATAAAGATGGGTGATCATGGACAACTTTATACTCACAGATCCTGAGAAATTTAGAGGACCTGTTGAAATTTCTTTGGACCTATACCAGAAAATTTAGAGGACTTACTAAAATTTCTTTGGATCTATACCATAGAAATTTCACTAGACCTATATCAGGTAATTTTCTCTGGATCCATCCTAGAGAATTTGGAAGGACCTGCTGTAATTTCTCTAGATCTATACCATAGAAATTTCATTGGACCTATACCAGGTAATTTCCTCTGGACCTATACTAGAGAATTTAGAGGACTTGCTAAAATTTCTCTGGACTTATACCAAAGAAATTTCACTGGACCTATGGTAGAAATTTCTCTAGGCCTATACCAGAGAATTTGGAGGACTTGTTGAAATTTCTCTGGACTTATACCAAAGAAATTTATTCGTGAAGATAAATTTTTTTGAAATTTCACTGGACTTATACCAAAGAAATTTATTCGTGAAGAAGAATTTTTTTGAAATTTCACTAGACGTATACCAAAGAAATTTCACTTAAACTTATATCTAGAATTTCTCTATAATATTGATCTTCTTTGGCTATCACACATTTGCAATATGAAATTTCACTGGACATATATCTGAAATTTCTCTGTCTTGTTGATTTTCTTTGAATTTTCTCTGCAAATGTAGTTGAAGAAATTTACTTGCATGTTGATTTTTTTCTAGCACATTTGATTTTTCTCTGAAATTTCTCTACAAATGTAGTAAGAGAAATTGACTTGCATGTTGATTTTCTCCACACATTTGATTTTCTATGAAATTTCTCTACAAAAATAGTTAGAGAAATTTACTTGCATGTTGATTTTCTCTAAAACATTTGATTTTATCTGAAATTCTATGTAAATATATTCAAAGAAATTTACTTTTATGTTGATTTCTAACTCAGTGAAATTTTGTCTTTTTTTTTTTTTTTTTTGAATTTCATATTCATCATAGATCTTGTTTGATAGATCTCGATGAGGGCATAAAAAATATAATTTTTTTTTAAAATAGACATCTAAATCAAAAGTTATTGAATTTTTAAGTTTTGAAAATTTTCAAAAAGTGAAAGATGTTTGAATGTAAAATGTAAGGATATTTTGGTCCAATAATTTTAGAGGGAAGAGACGCATGTTTTTGAGGGACCTGATGTAGTATAAAAGTTTGGGATGTCCTTTATCTCCTAAAATTGTAATATTAGGGACCTTAAAAAAAAAAAAAACCCTACAAAAAAAAAAAAAAAAGCTTGAAATTTTTAGCCCATTTAATTTTCAAGCTCGATTTGAAATAAATGGCACATATGTGTAAGTCCTAATAAGAAGATTTATTATCCAATAGGTTCTATAATAATTAGGGGAAATTATTCTAAGGTCTCTTTCACATTTTTAGTAATGGAAGAGACCCACAATATTATTTTTTGATATCTAAGGTCTCTAAACTCACACCCGTATATCATATCAGAGAAATTTAACTCTCTCTCTTTTCGATGAAATTCTCACGCTTACAATGACCCTTTAACCGTCACAATCTCTCTCTCTCTATCTCTCTCTCTCTCTCTCTCTCTCTCTCTCTCCAGAAAATGTCGAAACACACTTCGCGGTGATCCTCGCGACCGTCCTGATCTCCCTCCTCGTCTCCAGCACCACTAGCGAGATCAATAACCTAAAAATCATCGCGGATGACTGCTCTCTGATCCTCTTCGAGAAGTTCGGGTTCACCTACACCGGCCGCGTGAACATCACAGTCTTCGGTGTGTCGTAGTCAATTCAACCATTTTCGGCCTATTCCAATGCTTCGAAGACCTCTCTCACACCGAGGTAAGAAGGTGTGTGCCTAATAGGTAAGGTAGAGGGTTGAATGCTGGGTGTTATTTGAGGTATTCCACTATGAAGTTCTTCAATGGAGGTGAGAAATTGCAGAGAAGTTCTGGTTAGTCTCTCTCTGTCTCTATTTTTTAAATTTGATCATATGAGAATTTAGGAGTGAATAGAGTTTGATTTTAGTGTTTTTATTGTTGAATTCTTGTGTTTGAGGTAAAACTGCTTTTGGAAATTTGAGATAAATTCCCTCCAGAGAAATTCTGGACTTTCTAAAGAATTTCTCTAGGTTCAATCCAAAGAAAATTCAAATTTCTCTGGGTTCATTTTGACCAATTTCTCTGGGTTCAAATTCAAATTCAAATTTCTCTGCATTCATTTATAAACCAGAGAAAATTCAAATTTCTCTGAGTTCATTTTAACTAATTTTCTCTGGATCGTAAAGACACATTATTTTATGAAATCCAGAGAAATTCCCAAATACATCTTCAAAAAACCAATCATCACATAAATTTATTCCAACAACTGTTAATAAGTTAAAACAAACCAAAAATCAAATCTGAACAAGACTGGAATTACCCACCACAATATTCATCATTGATCAAATGACCCACAAATTTATGAACTAAAAAGTTCTACAAAAATCCAGAGAAATTTTCTCTGGGGTTGAAGTGAATTTCTTTGGACTGAGGGAATTTCTCTGGGTTGAAGTAAGTCTAGAAAAATTCTAGTAAGATTTTCTCTGTGAAGTCGAATTTTCTCTAGTGTGGATTGAATTTTTGATTGATTTCTCAGGTTTGGACCAGAGAAATTCTCTGGTTTGGAAATCTATAGTTTGTTTGAGTATATTTCTTGGTTTCAATGCTCACCAACCATGATGTGCAATGGTTTGGTTTTGAGAAAATTTTAAGCTCATCATGAGATTACAGATGTTTGGGGTTTGAAGGATTTTGACTTGTTTGCAATATATGTTAAAAGAGTTTGAATCCAGTGAAAATTCAATTTTTTTTGCCCTATTTGGAATTTTCTCAGTGATATGTCCAGAGAAATTTAGAATTTTCTCTGTGATTTGTCTAGAGAAATTTGGAATTTTCTTTGTGATGTGTCCAGAGAAATTCTCTAGATCAAATTTTCTCTAGATCAATGTTGACGGACTTTAGACATTATTAAAATATTGAATGTCCTTTATGCTATAAAATTTTAATACCAGGGAACTTTAAAAAAATCCCCTAATAATTAATGACGTTTTTCATCAAACACAATTAAAAAAATGTTAATAATTGTTAATTTTCAGTGACAGTTTAAAAATTGTCACAAAAAATGTCACCAATGATAAGTTTTAGCAACAGTTTAAAAAATCGTACAAAAAAATCACTAATTTTTAACTTTCAGTGACAGTTTAAAAAATTCTTCATAGAAAAACGTCACTAATTGTAAGTTTTAGCGACAATTTATAAAAATTGTGACAAAAAAATCACTAATTGTCAATTTTTAATGACATGCAAAAAATTGTCAAAAAAAAATTATTTATAGTGACGATTTTACTAAAACTAATTTTCAACGGGACTTAATGAGAATTAAGTCCAACTATTAATAGCTATTGGTAATTTATCCTTAAAATAAAGAGTTTTAATCCAACTTAGCTCCCATCCACCTATTTATAAAATATTTATTTTAAATTTTATGTTATTAATTACAAAACAAAGTAGAAAAATAATAAATAATAAAGAAAAGTACGTATATATATATACTCTTTTTTTAATTTATTTAAAAAGTTTACATTAAAACAATTCTTAAAAGATCATTTTTACTTTACAATTGAACTTTGATAGTATTCTAAATTTAAATAATTATTAAAAGGGTCTAAATAATATAATAGCCCTTTAAGACAAAATAATAATACTAATAATAATAATAATAATAATAACTTATATTTATTGATATTTAGATATTCTTTTAGGGTTGAGTTTGGGCTCGATGTCAAGTTGGACAGGATTTGGATTGACACATAAATGGGAGATTCTATTTATACTAAAAAAAATCATTAAGTGCGTCTAATTTCTCAATAAACGTTGTTCAATTATTTAGAATTACAATTTATTCTTAGTACATTCTATTTTGTTTTTTTCAAATTACATTTCAAAATACACCAAAATAATAAATAATACACAAATTGAAAACCCAAATTATTGTAAAAAACCTTTCAAAAACCTTCTTCTGGTTGAGATTCAGGGAACACAACCACCAGCCACTGTGGACCGCGCCGAACGTCAACCATCAACTAAAGTGGGTTTATGTACATTCTCTACCTTTATGATGTGTTTGGTTTAGGGATTTAGGAAGAGATTTAAAAGAAAAAAGAAAAAAGAAGTGTAAAACTAGATGAAATGTAAGTATATTTTATTCACATTTCACCTATATTTTCTCTTTCTCTTTTCAAATGCCTTTTCAAATCTCCCAATCAAACCCGACATTCCTCTAGCCTTCTTCTTCATCCCAAACACTCTGATATTTATATGAATAGGTTTATTTTTGGAAATTCTCATTTACTCATAATTAAACTCTTTCAACGAGGGAAACTTTGGATACCCGATTGCCATTTTCACCACTTCTGGCTTATAGTTCAAATCATCGAGATAATGGGATGGATTATGTTATGGAATATGTTATGTTACTGTGCTTTTTTCCAACGACTTTGCTAATGGATTTGGACTGAGAGACCACACTGAAACTCACTTGAAAATGAAGGGTCTGTGCTTAAATGGAAATTGTATGGTTCGGAATTTCATATCCAAACATGTTGCTTTTTTCCAGGTAAGTATTCACATAAACAAAGTAAATATGCTCAAATTTGAAATAAAACACAGAAATCAAGAATTATACTTTGATATTTATGTGAATACTTACCTTTTTTTTTTATGGGTTGTTTCAAAAAACAATTTTTATTATTATTATCATCAATTGTTTGATTTTGTTTAAACTTTTTTTATTCGCAAGGATAAGAAACAATGATGTTGATGATAATGGTGAGTTTTGGTAGGATGATTTGGAATTTTGGAGTGAGAGAGAAGAAGAGGAGAAAATAATTGAAATTTGGGGCAAAAGATAAAGAATACATATATATGATTAGAGTGTATCATGAGAAAAAAATATATATTTTATTTTACAATTTAATATGTGTTAAATTTACATTATGATATACTAGTAAGAATTAAAATTACAAAATTTTAATTAAATGTACGTAACGATTTTTGGGGTTAAATGTGCCACTCATTCATTTGAATCCACGACTTGCTGAAATTTATTTTTTGGGCATGAATAAATTCCAATGTGTTCATCCTTGTTCGCACACAAATCAAAATTTTGGGAATTTAAGTTAGGTTGTGTAGGTTTTCATTGCTCTATTGAAAAAATCTTCCATGATTGATACAGTCCTGACCTCTTCCCTACATTCAACACAACCATCATTACTCAGTTCAGTTACAACTCCTTTGGCTAACTAACAGAATGACAACCACCACTAGCCAACTTGATTACTGATCTGAATAACCATTTTAGCCTAACCTTCTGTTTATTTTTTTTAAAAAATATTTTTGGTGTTTTCTGACATTTAGTACATTGAAAAGGAAATTCAATGACAACGTTAATGATGTAATCTTTGAATAGAACAACTTGCTATGATACATTTCGAGTCGTGTTACAGATGTCACATTTTTAAAGATAATATTTGCTCCCACCAGATAGTGTGCACCGAGTTTCCAGTAAAATCGCCTTCAAGATGCAATGAACTTGATCTTAGAATCTTGTATTTGTATTTTCACAAATGAAGACAGATTAAAATACCTTCGTATACCATAGAACCGGGGACAATAGTTTCTATTGGAAAATATTTTCTGTCTATTCTCTAACAATATCGACTGGCCCCAAGGAAGAGAGCTAAAAAGGAACAGGGAAAATGCAAATCACATTCAGCAAGAAAGAAACAAGGATAGACCTCTTTTCAACTACATAGTGAAGCTCTTACTATATCCAAGTTCTGTCAAAATCCACCCCAACATAACTCTTTCATAAAATAGAATAGACAAAGCAGGAACAACATATTCAGGAATAAAAAGAACTTACCATTAGTCAGAGAAATTGTTCAGAATTCTACAGTAATATAGAGTATGAATGGTACAATATCTGCACAACAGCATGTTTAAGTAATGTACTTTAGACAATTTATAGTTAATTTGACTCCGTTTAACTTTCTGCTACAAGAATCTCATCATCAGCATCGATTCCAACCCAATTGATCAAAGCAAAAAGGAACTCTCTGAAGCTAACCTTCCCCTTTCTTTCCTAGTCCGTTTCTTCTGCATTCATACAGTGCAATTACTAAGATAAGGGTAAATAACTTTAAGGCAATGCAACCACAGATTTACTACAAAGCAGCATGGAAAAAGATGTCGGTGATACCAAATCGAGTCCTTGTAACGTGTGCTGGGGAAATCTCCAGAGGAGAATCCCCATTTAGTGCTTTGACCATGTCTTTCTTGTTCAGCTTTCCATCACCATTTTTGTCAAGAAACAAGAATGCTTCGATTATAGTATCAAACGTGGCTTCAAGCTGTGGCGATCCCGTCTTTGATGTCTTAAAAAACATCCACACGATAAGAATAGTGAATTGGCAATAAATGTTGACCTAAACAAGTGAACTTTGCAATTGAAAAAAAAAACATGTTATGAGTTAATTGTGTTTACAGTGTGAGGAGAGTTCAAGTGATCCATTAGGAGATAAATGAGACACAAAAGAACAATAAACTCTTTGAATTGTATCCCTTCACTCCCATCTACGTCACACGAGTGAAAAAGATCATCAATTTCCTTCTCTGTAAGATGGAGTTGCAATTTCTGTAAGCATTTCTTGAGTTCCTCAAGGTCAATAGTTCCATTAGAATCTTCATCTGTTTAGAGTTAACAGAGAGATTGATCAGTTTGTAACATTGCTCCATCAAAATATTTTTTTTGCAAGGAAAGCAACCTTGTGAAACTCACCGCACTGTTCAAAGACACCTCGGATGTCTTTCAATCCCTCTTTGATCTGAGGGAACCTCATGATTATGCCATTGATTGATCTGAAATTGTTATTTCCAAATGGACTTCTCTTAACTTCCATCATTTTCTTTTCGAGCTTAGTGTCTAACCTCTTGTACTTGTTTTGCGAATTATGACAGCAGAGTATACCTCCTACTTTGTTGGACAATGACTTCAGAGCAGGGCTAGTGTGAGACGGGCCTTAAGAACAAAAAAACCCAACAAACAAACTGAATTTAAGCACAATAAACAAGATCAAATTTGGAGTGTGATTTGTTTTCACACTAACAAGCAGCATGAAACAATTTGTCTGGTCTTATAATGGGCTAAGACTGCATACATATTTCCCTTAAAGTGGGAAAAACAAATGCATCCTAAAAGTAGCTAGGCGGCAATGCTCAGCACCCATATGTCATTCCACCAAAGCGGCAATATATGTCATCTATCAGAGCAACAGCAAAAAGCTTCCACTCCTTAGCTCAAAGAGAATGGAAGATGAGAGGCAAAGGAAGAGGGTAGAAATTAGCTCAAATGAACATAGAGCCCACCTCACCCTACATGGTATGATCTTATTGGTTAGGTCTGGCTAGCATGTGGCATGTGGCATGAAATGAAATGACAAGTATGACCAAAGGAGAATAATATATTTACTTTTAGAAGGGATATTCCAAAGAATATTCTAAGAAGCATCTAGACATACTTGATTACTAAGAAAAGTTCTATAATACATGCACCTACCCCATAAGTTAAGACAAACCACCATTCATTATACACTCTTTATTCTAGGAATATCCATTGATCCCTTCTCGAGGATCGTGGATTGACTTGAGCATCAAAGTGCTCCCGCCCGACTAACAGTTAGGCACTAACAATGGTTTCTTTTGTAGATTACGAACACCTGGTGGCCGGTCATCAAGTAGGCTATGATTTGTTACCCCTACAGGTGCCAAATGGACATTTTATGAGCAAGAAAAACTTTATTTGATATTTTCCCAAATAACTAGAAGTGTAGCATATTACTGAAGAAGATGGAAAAAAGATAGCCAATCCAACTTTGATCAGATCAATCAAGTACCCAAAATCCTATTACATGATGAAACACATTGTTAAAACTGTAAAAATCATTTGCTACAAAAATCAGCAATAGGGTTCTCTTATATATTAATTATATGATGGCAAGCTAATACATATAAGAAGGAACAGAATGATCTGTGCAATAACAAACATCTACAAATTGATAGCTTTAACTTAAGTGGGTACTCATATTTGAAATAATGAGATTGTAAGTTTCAGAGATATGTATGTTCTAATGGCAGTGTTGAGAAAACAAGGTTAATAAATTAAAAGAGATGAAGAAACAAAGACTTACCCAATGAATCTTTCATGGTTTCTGGTGTGAGAGATGACATAGCTGAGTATTCCTTCAAACATTTATATACATGGGTCTGTATATCTGTGTGTGTGTGTGTGGGACTAACATTGAATATGACATGAAGGAGGGCAAGCAAAGGAAAAGTAAAAGGGAAATGGGTTCAGGGCCTTTTGGCAAAGTGAAGTGGAAATGCCTTTAAGCATTATGGCTTTGAATTGAAATCTCTCTCTTTCTTTCAAGTGGAAGATTGCTTTGAGAACATTCTCTCTTAACTATTGTACTTGTTTGGCTTTTAGAAATGGCAATTCTGTTACATATTCAGACAAAATACTTAAAATTTTATTTAAAATTTAAATACGTAGACAAGATTCATTTTATTTACGACTCATAATAGATCATCTTCAAAATGTTTACAATACATTTTACTTATAATTTTTCATGATCCTTAAAATTATTGCCAAAAATGGTTTGCAATACATAAAGTTGATCTAATTGGAGAAGAATGCTTTGACTGGTTCGAGATTTGCAAGTCTTGGTGGGTCAATACAATTATTAAAGCACAAGCACCTTGAAATTTATTTGTTAACTATACCATTTTAATAGATAACGATGCTCAGCAAAAATATAAATAAAAACAAAACAAAACAAAACAAAATAGAAAGTCACAAATTATGATCAGTGACCACCTTACCACATCATTTGGATGATAGATTTGGATTTTAAAAATAGAAGGAAAAAAATAATAAATAAATAAAGAGAAAAATAAAGGAAACATTTAACTTATATTTCATTCATATTGTCTAACTTTTTATTTTTTCTATCCAAAGCTATGATCCACCACATAAAATTTGAAAGAACATTTCTTCCACATGCACTCGAACATTTGACCTAATAGTCCTGGAACACCAATGTGCTTAGTTTCAGTTTTCTAAATTTAATTTTCTAAAAATGTATTTTTGTTTTCGTGTTTTTTTTTTATTTTTAGGAAATATTTTTAAAATTTTAATCATTTTTTTTTAGATACATCTTACTTAGATATATATATATATATATATAAAAGTAAAATATTTGTAAAAAATTATTTTAAAAAATTAATAAATACACAAAAATACGAAAAATATACTGAATTTTCAAAAATAAAAATTTGTATTTTTGATATTTAATAAATTTTCTAATGATTTTTTTTATGAAAATTATACTTTTTAAATGTATTTATATTATGGGTGTCTAAAAAATTTTTAAAAAAAATCCTTAAAATATTAAAAAAAAATTCAGTAAAAACAAAAAAAAAAAATTGAAAAATAAGAAAGTAGAATCTTCTAAAAAGTGTTTTCAAAAAACTGAAAACAAACATTAGAAATTAATTATTCAATAATCCCAAGATACTCGAAATTTGACAAAATAAACAAACACCCACCGAAGGACACATTCACAAGCCAAATATTCTGCTAATGACATTTTTTCCAAGTCAACTGACAATTTAATTGCTCAACACAGAAAGTTAAAAGGTATCCTAATTGTATTTACCAAAGATCACATCTATCTTTAATCTGCGTTATAACCCTCAATGCATTGCAAACTAAAGAAAGAGCTTTCAAATGTCCACCGCTGTATGAGATGCAACTTGAAATTGACTTTAAAAGGTTTCCCCAAACACAAATAGCTTTGAGAATATACAAACCACTGATGTTGCAGTTGGAAACACCGGACTCGACTCCTCGTTTAGATCAACTAGATGAAAACAATAAACCAAAGAAAAGAGAAAATTAAAAGTTTATTTCTCAGCAGTTCGTCCACTCCAAAGGGATGGAATCGCCATTGCTAAACAAGGGCCGTGGTCTCTTTTTCAGTGCAGCCACCGCCTGAGAAGCCACACTACCCATTGGAGAAACGGGACTTCCATTTGAGGTCAAGCAACTGTCAACAGAGCAGTTGCCGAACCGAGCAGGCAGATTAGAAGCAATCTTGTTTTCTATAGACACGGCAAGTTGGGAGAGAGAAGACATTTTTAGGGTCTCAACTGGGACCATCCCATTACAGTCATTTGAAACCTTGATCGCCAGTTCTGAGAGCTCTTCTCTGGCTGCTTCAAGCCCAGCAGTTGCAGCAGCCTGGTCATTCAGAGCTTTACAAGCTTTCTCGAGGATTGACTGCAAGTACTTGCCTTGTGCTTCAATCCGAATTTGGAGACGACGCTGAACCTGGTTCCAGTAGAATCGTAATGATAAGCTTCTTTACAATAATAAATTTATAATCCAATCGAAAAATAAACTCATTCACGGAAATTCTATTGCACCTGAGGTTTCTGAGAAAATTACACGTAGCCCCAACATGGATTTTTGAAATTAAAAGTTCATTGAGATTGACACAGATATCCTCTGTTAAGTCACCATTGAATCTCGTGATTGAAAATGACGACTTTGAGTTTTGTGCCAAGACGATATTTTCACTCTTATTTGCCTTAATGAGATCATGAAGCTCCTATTTATGGTTTTTCTTTTTTCTTTTTTTCTTGTCTCTTAATTTGCTAAGAGAAGGGCATACAAGTTAAAAATAAATAAAAACAATTAAAAAAACTTTAGAAAAACCCTTTTGAGGCAAAAAAGACGGTGACAACTGCATATACGGACACCGAAAAACTCGAAACACCGAAATTACTGATGTGAGAGAAATGTTCACATATCTATACATGCAAACATCATCTATAGATGGAAACATTGTGTCACATCGGTGACTTGGGTAATCGAGATTTCCGGTGTTCGTAGTACCACTCAATTAAATTCCAATAAATTGCATTTTATATATATGTTTGTGTATATTTTTCTATTGTCAAAGGGAAATCTTTCTTCATCTCACCATGGTTTTTATCCAGTCTAAAAAAAAACAAAACAAAACAAAAATGCCACACAGTTCTACTTCTCACCTCATTTCCTTACTCCTAGACACAAGCAAATGAACCCCCTTACATGTATACATTTAATGTGGGCCCCACTGCCTTGAGTATGAGACTCAGACGATGAGGTGAGAAATGAGACCATGTATATATAGCATCACTCATAAATAAATATCGCATGGGTAATTCATTGTTTCAGTTAAGGTGACTTTGTTTTGTTAACTACTGTATGTGGGGTGGCTTGTGGCAACAACGGTTTTTTCTTTTCTTTTTCTTCTTCTTTTTATTTTATTTTATTTTTTTGTAACTAATGGTTTCAAGATTACCATGAACCCATGTTGACTGTGGGAAAAACACTTTCTAGAAGCAAATATAAAACCAACAAAAGAGACCTTGCGTCGAAGTCAATAAGCTGATATTTA